TTTTTTTTTTTTTTTAAAGATTTTATTTATTTATTTGACAGAGAGAGACACAGCGAGAGAGGGAACACAAGCAGGGGGAGTGGGAGAGGGAGAAGCAGGCTTCCCGCGGAGCAGGGAGCCCGATGCAGGGCTCGATCCCAGGACCCTGGGACCATGGCCTGAGCCGAAGGCAGACACTTAACGACTGAGCCACCCAGGCGCCCCAACCACAACGACTTCTACTATTTTTTCATTATTTTTTTTCTTTAATGGAGTCATTTTTTTTTTACTTAAAAATTTATGGAATTTGTTATGGAAAACAGGCTATCACTTGTGATGAATAAAAAGTAAATATGGAAATAAATTCAATCAAAGCAATGATTTCAAGTTCTGACTGGTTCCCATTGGTTTCCAAGGGCTCAGCCTGGTGCCCTTCTCTGCTTGAGAAAGGAAGAGAGCGAGGGTACAAGTGTTCAAGACCTACACTGCCTGATAGGTCTTTTGATGTAATCAAACGGACTGAAAGAGATTTGAAAGGTATGAGTCAACCTTCTATAATGCTACCTCGGTGCACCTCCTACACCCCAACACCCCCGACCATTCCACCAGCATCTCATCTTGGAAATACTGCACTGCAAGGACACACAGAGGCCATGTCCCACTCGCTGGCAAGTCTCAGAGCTGACAAGGTGGCCTGTGTCTCCGTAGAGAAAAGCAGGAAGGGCCTTGAGACCCCATCATGCTCAACAGCTAAGATCAGACAAGAACACTAAACCCTGTTTTGGTTGTAAAAACCTGTCTGTCTCTGCTCTTCAAAGCTCAGAAACCAAAGGGGGCCTTCCTGCAAAAGGGTAGGTCTCGTCTGTGAGCTCAAACGAGGTCTTGCTTTAACCAACCCCCCACCTGCATCTCCAAGTTTACTTAAATCATCTCAATTTGCCATTTCACAATAGAGTGGCCTCTGCAGGCGGCCTCCCCCCACCCCACCCCACCCCCGCAGGGTTGGGCTATGTGTAAATGGCAGCTTCATGGTCTTCTCCAGGCCTCAGGCAACGTTTGTGGTTTTCCTCTGTGTTAACACAACCACTGAGGCTGGTCTCCAAGAGACGTAAAGACTTGCTGGTCCCTGACTGAGATGGGCAGCTTCATAACTACGTGGGCTAAGTGTGCTTAGCACACTCTCTGGCAAGGCCAAGCCAAGTCTCAGACTCCAAGAATCTGTGTGGCCAGCACTGTTTACTGTCCATGACCCACTCCAGCCATGAGACAAGTAGGAGCAAGACGAGTAGTCAATGACCAAGCAGAAGTTCTAACAGTTGTAGCTATATTAAGTCAACAAGAAACCAAAACATTACTCCTGGTCTGACTAATAACAATAACCACCTCAGATTAAGATTACACCTTGCAAGCCCATGAGGAGTGGGACCCCTAAGCCCCCCTTTCATCTGGATTTTTTTCTGTAAACGTTGGAGAAGCCCAGAGTTCCTCCTTAGACAGTCTCTCACTTTTTCCATTTACCCTCTCTCCCTTGTCATATCGTCCAGGCTCATGGTTCAAATAAAGTCTATATGCCAATGGCTCCCACACTCATACCTGCATACCAGAACTTCTCACCTGACATCCAGACGTGCTTACTCGATACCTCCATTTAGAATTTTTATAGGCATCTCAAACACAGCATATCCCAAATTGAGTTCCTTGTGTTGCCCCAAAGAACCATCTCCCCTCCAGTCTTCCCATCTCAACAAATGGCCACCCCTTGGTTCCATTTGCTAACCT